GAAAAATCAAACTTGACATGGCATTTTACCTTCGCATTTCCATGGAGTTATTAACATGGGCTTCCTTATTTTTCTGCTCTACAATTTGTATTGGCACTGGCAACACATTTGTGCCCGGGGCAACACCGGAGGCACTAGCTCTGTGGAAGAGTGGGTGGTGGAATGCCGCCATCAACAACGTTGCAGACCATTGTAGCTGGCCTGGTATAACATGCAACGGTGCTGGGAGCATTACCGAGATTAGTCCACTTGATTTTAGTGTGGGAGAGAAGTTCGGAAAAATGGACTTCTCTTCCTTCCCCAATCTTGTTCGCCTTAATCTTAGCCATCAAGGACTCTATGGGAGCATCCCACCTCAAATTGGTGATCTTACAAGACTCGAGCACCTTAATCTGTCCAACAACCATCTAACAGGTACATTGCCCTCTTCACTTGGAAATCTCACTCAATTACGGATGCTTGACGTATCTTTCAATTATATAAACTCCATCTCCCCAAAATTTAGGGATTTGAAGAATCTTGTTTCTTTGAACTTGACTCGGAACAACCTCGATGCATCCATTGCTCCAATTATAGGCCTTGCCACCAATCTTTCCCACTTGGAGTTGGCCTCAAATACTTTTAATTGTAGGATCCCTCCAGAAATATGGAACTTGAAGAGTCTTGTAGCCTTAGACATGAGTTATTGCTCCCTCAATGGTCCAATCTCTTCCAACATCAGTCATTTAACCAGTCTGGTTTCTTTGTCTCTTGCAAACAATCAAATCAATGGATCCATACCTTCAGAAATATGGAACTTGAAGAGTCTTGTAGCCTTAGACATGAGCGACTGTTCCCTCACTGGTCCAATCTCTTCCAATATCAGTCATTTAACCAATCTGGTTTCTTTGTCTCTTGCAAACAATCAAATCTATGGATCCATACCTTCAGAAATATGGAACTTGAAGAGTCTTGTAGCCTTAGACATGAGCGATTGTTCCCTCAATGGTCCAATCTCTTCCAACATCAGTCATTTAACCAATCTGGTTTCTTTGTCTCTTGCAAACAATCAAATCAATGGATCCATACCTTCAGAAATAGGAAATTTAAAGAACTTGGTTTCTCTGGATCTATCTGAAAACTTGTTTGTGGGTCTAATACCATCCCGTCTTGGACAATTAACCAGTTTGACATTTCTAAATCTCAGTTTCAATTCATTTATTGGCTCCATCCCTCCAGAATTTGGGGAATTGACGAATCTCACTGATCTCCGCATCAGTGACAGCGCACTTTTTGGTCAGCTCCCTCCAACTTTGGGTCACTTGACGAATCTCATTGATCTGCACCTTGAAACAAATTATTTTTATGGCTCCATCCCATCAAACATAGGAAATCTAAGTAATTTGGAACTTCTGAATCTTGATTCAAATCTTTTAGAAGGTTCAATACCCAAAGAGATTGGACATTTGAAATCTTTGCAGTATTTGGACCTTTCCCGAAACAAATTGTGTGGACACTTCCCAACACAGCTTGAGAATTGCTCCCTTTTAGAAGAACTGTATTTGAGCCACAATTCCATGGGTGGAGACCTCCCATCTGAAATAGGAAATATGAAGAATCTATTTATTTTAGATCTCAGTGCTAACAATTTCACTGGTCCCATTCCTTCCACTCTAAGTAATTTAACCAATTTGATCAACTTGCATCTTGATTCAAATCATTTGAACGGGTCAATACCTTCACAACTTGGGCATTTATCAATCTTTTATCCAGATGGCAAAAATCTCAGTTGCAATAATCTCATAGGCCCAATCCCAGAAACTTTGTCTGGTTTTCCACTTAACTCTTTTATAGGCAACCCAGGTTTATACGGTTATCCTTTTAGCAGCCCCACTACTTCACCTTCTCCCTTCACTCAACATAGAAAAAATTCCAACAAAGTGTTGAGACATGTTAAAATTATTCTTCTTAGCACCATTTCTCTTGTTTTGGTTTCTCTGGCATTGTTCTTACTTTCTCGAAGAATAAATGGAGCAAAAAGTAAGGAAGCAATTCTAAGTCCAACAAAAAATGGGGATCTGTTCTCAATATGGAACTTTGATGGGAGGGTTGCATTTGAAGACATTATTGCAGCAACTGAAGATTTCGACGTTCGGTATTGCATTGGTACTGGTGGCTATGGTAGTGTTTACAAGGCACAATTGCCAAATGGCAAAGTAGTTGCCTTAAAAAAACTTCATCGAAGGGAATCAGAGGTACCCACTTTTGACAGGAGTTTTAGGAATGAAGCTA